TCACCCATATCACTTTCATCCTCCTGCACCATAGGAACAGAAAGACACATTTATCCATGTTTGACAGACTGTGACAGACTCATCAGTACAAGAAGATATGCATGAAAGAAATGAGTCAGGGATGTGATTTATTTGTATTTTATGACCCATTATATAGAATAACCCATTATTGGATGTATTATAATAACAAAAACATTATTATTAAATATAATTTTTTTTACAGCACAATTGTTTGATTTTTACAATTTAAATAATAATAAAAATGTAATAATTTTTTTTGAACAATAATTATTTTTAAAATAATTTTTACAGTACAGTAGTTTTGCTGTTTTATTTATTTCTATAATTTGGATTGATTATAATTATAATTTGGATTGATAATTTGTATTGTATAATGTCTATCATTTATAATTATCAATATATTATTACATTTTAAAAAAATCAGTATAATAGTATGGCAATAGTAGTATATTGATTTGTTTAATTTTTATACTGTAAATAATAAAATTAAATATTTTTTATATTTGCTTTAAACACTCATTTTTACAGCACTTAACATTTTTACATATTTACAATATGTATTTATTGATTTGTTTAATTTTTATAAATTATCGTGGCAATTTATTTTATTTCAATAAAGGCGTGAGACAAAAAGTCTTTTGAAGATTTATTTTCTTGCAAGAAAAGGTCAACAGGCGTACAGATTGGCTGCAGAGTGTGACCAAGAGAGACACGTTGACTCAGCATTTATACCCTAATCAAATCCGGATGCTTCTATCTCATCAAATCGTACCGCATGTTCAACAAATGTGTCCATTTAAGGTATCTATGTCCCCTAGATGCATACCTTAGTAGCCTATTTAATGCAAATGATCCTCTAAGAAGCTAGGTCCAAAATAACATTTCACACTTGTCTTGTGCACACACACACACACTCACATCACATAGATTTCCTGTTATCTCTCAGCTCAAAAATGAAATTTCCTCCACCTAAATTAATAATTAATAATACAACAAAATATTTTGAATAATAAAAATATAAGCATACTGAATTGGGGAAATACAAGACCCTGTGCAAAAAGAGGGCAGTTACAAATGGAGGTTTGCCTGTTTAGTCCTGCTCTGAATTGTAGAATGGGAGTATTTAAGCAAGAAAATATGTGTTTATTGGTGTTTCTGGTCACCCGTACGACTGTCACCCTCTTGCACACTTTTTTCCACGTTCAACAGACTGTGACATGGACACACTAGTACCAAAAGATACACATGCACGCAAGGTTCCCATCCTGTGGAGCTCATTACCATGCTTGGTTTGATTTGCTTTTTAGGACGCTTATTCATTACTTTCACCAATTCAGATGTTTTTCTGTGGAGACTTTTGGTTCTGGCAACTCATGCCTGGTTTGTGTTTTGCCATCATCCTCATCCACGCCGTCTCGCTGCTGTATCCACTGAACATTTAGGGCAGTTATACACTGGTCTTAAATTTCAGACCCCACAAGCCTCGTCAGTATTTCCTGAGCTCAATCTGATGAAAATGTGGCAGTAATGAGGGGCTTTGCCTCAATACGTGCCCCCCTGAATGTTCGCAACAGATCATTCTCACACCAAAAACTTGTTTTTTCTTGTATAAAGTAGACCGAACCTGATCGCTCAGTTTGGGAGTGGCAGAATAATATTATTTCATGACATAACGCTCTCCTCTCGAGGATCCATGGGAGCTCAGAACTGAGTTTGATCAGGTGCCTTGCTTTCCCTGACTGAGTGAAAAGCTACAACGACTTGCCAAGGTGGGTTACTGTCAACAGTCAGCAAGACAGCACAGTAGGGCAGAACTTCAGAAGAACATGGATATGAAGTTTTCAGACCAGGTATTCCATCTTCTGTCCTTTTATCCGCCTGGCGGTCAGTTATTGTGCTCAGTGATGGATAGCATCTCATCGCCCATTGCCCTGACTGATGTACTTGGCACATTCTGAGCACCTCTTTGTGAACAAAGGCTGTAATGGTGTTTTGTGAGTGTATGTCTATGTGTGTAACATGGGAAAGGCCCCAGTGCAGGGATGGGGCTGAATCAGTGACCCCTGCTCTCTGACTCACAACTGTGGAATGTTCTTTGTGCTTCAACCAGTAGCAGCCAGGAGGATCTGCCAATGTCTGAACCCACACCATCCAGCTGATACACAGCATCCAAACAATGTTCCCACAATGCAACCCTTTCAAGCATCTGAGCGGCATTCCAGATTCTTCATAAATGTGATACCTGTTAGCCTTTGAACTTGAATCTTGAAGTCTGTTCAAAAGCGTATTCCCATTGTTCCTTTTATGCTCCATGAGTTTGAACAATATGACTCCCCTCATTTTTTCCTCTACAAACAAACGTTTGGGAAGCAGACCACCCTCCGTCAGGCCCCCTTCCCACACACGTCTCGCAGACAGTTTTTCATTCACACATCCACCTCTAAAGCCACAGGATCAGCTGAGTCTGAATACTGACTGGAAACCTGGTAGATTAACTAAGGCAGTTTGTATAGGCTTCCCATACTGACACAGTTAGAAGGGATTACTCTGTCGCCCAGACATGAGTAACCACTGCCGCTCAAAAATATTCTTACATCCGGCCTTGATATTGAAAAATGGTGCCGTAATGCACAACATGGTGGGGTTTTCTATGAATGGCAATGACAAATTCATGTCATGAAAAATTAAGATTCAAAACAGTGACTGCTGCTTTGATGTGTAATAGTGCCACCAGCGTCACAAAAAGAAATTGCATGGAAAGGTATTTAGGCAAAAAAATAAAATAAAATAAATATTTATGACAAATATATATATGTATATATATATATATATATATTACACTGGTCATATTTTCATTTTTAGATCTCTTTAAACATTCATTTTATGAAGATCTCCATTTCTTAAATGAAACGGCTGTTCAGAAGTTTGGGGGTTTTGAAAGTCTCTTATGCTCACCAACACTGCATTTATTTGATCAAAAATACAGTAAAACGGTAATATTGTGAAATATTACTGCAACTGAATAACTGTTTTCCATGATACATTTTCAGGATTTTTTAATGAACTAAAAAGTTCACATTTGTTTTTTTTTTTGTTTGTTTTTTTGTTTTTGTTTTTTTTGTCTTTACTGTCACTTTTGATCAGTTTAGTGCATCATTGCTGAATAAAAGTGTTAATTAAAAAAAATACTGAATCTAAATTTTTAAACATAGTGTATATAAATAATTGTTTGCATATGGGAAATCGACACGCTCTATATACATGTATACATCACCATATTATGTTAAAAGAGAATTCAGTTCTACCACTGACCTACTTATATGCTAAGAAAACAAACACAGCATATAACAAATTATGATTTATATGCATCTAATCCCCTAGTTCACAGAAAAGGTCTTGACAGGGAAGTGGAAAGCTCTTGCAACCCCTTGGGGTTTGGTGGAGGGGCCAGCTTCTCAGAGCATGTGACTCCCATTCACCCAGTTCACAGACAGGAAAGGGTTCTCACACTCGCTGATCTATTGACACAAAGATATGATGATGATCCTGATGTAATTGTCCTTATCTACAGCAAACAAGTTTGGTTGGGCTGGAAATATTCCTGTCAGGTTTATGCAGCTACTGTGGTGGACCCCTAACCTGTCCAGACTAACCTGTCCCCCTAACCTGTTTAGGTATGTTTTGTGTACTCAAAGGGAGGGACAGGAAGTAAATAAACCTGTTCACCCCTCACAGACAGGTGTACTGAAGGGATAGTTCACCCAAATCATGTCATCATTTACTCACCCTCAAGTTGCACCAAACATGATTTTCTTTTTTTCTGTTGAGCATAAAAGAAGAAATTTTGAAGAACATCAGTAACCAAACAGTTGCTGGTTCCTATTAATTTATAGGTTGAAAAATCAGCAACTGTGATATTAAAATTGCTTTTACTTTTCCAGTTACTTTGCACTATTTTGCAATAGTAATCCAGATTATATATGTTCTTTATGCATTGCGTGCCCTAAACAATTGGGTTGTTTTATCTTAATTGTCCAATGTATATAGTCCATTTAATTCAATAAGTCGCCTAATCTAATCTTGGATAGCTAGTGAAGCGGTATAATAATTACACAATGCTTTAGGCTTAAAGTCAAAATTACAAATAGGCCTATCTAATATTCCCTAATGCATTGCAAGGGCTTTCAAACTGGAGCCCAGGGACCAGTAAGCTGGAAATTTTACAAATATAAAAACATATCAATAATAACAAATACAATTTAAATAAATAAATAATGTAATATTTTCTAGAAACTTTTACATATATTTATAGTATTAATCTATATATTTTATGAAAATATATAGCTGCATTTTACATTTTAGGATGGGGGTCGCCTGACGAGGATTATTGTATTTTGGGGCATATGTACAGCAATAATAATTTTCTACCAAAACCAGCCCATAAAAAAAAAAAAAAAAAGATAGTAAGCTGGAAATTTTACAAATATAAAAACATATCAATAATAACAAATACAATTTAAATAAATAAATAATGTAATATTTTCTAGAAACTTTTACATATATTTATAGTATTAATCTATATATTTTATGAAAATATATAGCTGCATTTTACATTTTAGGATGGGGGTCGCCTTATTGTATTTATTGTATTTTGGGGCATATGTACAGCAATAATAATTTACTACCAAAACCAGCTCATAAAAAAAAAAAAAAAAAAGATATTTGTGTGTGGAATGCATTTTATATTCCTGCATATACTTTGAAAGTACTGTATGCTCACTGAAATTTATTTAGATATGCTCAGTGTTCAAACTTATAAATATAAAATATACAACTCTTTCAATTCAAAGAATATTCACTACAGTGCAAAAGAAAGTTGTGTTACGCAATGACGTGCGCCAGAGGAGGCGCGGCAGTCGCGCAACACTGAGAGGAGCATCTGAAAGAGCTGTAGAAGAGGAGAGGATAACATCACATCTCATCACATCACATCACATCAGAATCAGCCTGAGAAGTCGGGACTGTCCAAGAAAACCTGACACAGACCAGTCTGGACCTGGACTGATCTGCTTCATATAAAGTCACCAGACGGTCGGCAAAGTCTTCTTCGCGTGTGAAGAATGGATAAGCACAAAGGTAAGTGGAAAGATTATATGAAGTTTGCATGGTGCGATGTCTCGTATACACGCACAGCCCGCTGTAAACAACTTTAAACCTTTGCGATGTTTTCCAATCCTCAATATTTGGGATAACGGATCGTGGGAAACTGGGGGATCGCTCTCCAGAGGGATGCAACTGGAGGAAATTGAGTTTCCAGGGAAAGTGGACTTTTCAGCGCGCTCGTTCATTGATTTCTCCATCTCTGTGTGTTTCGCATTCTTCCTCAGTATTAGTATACGATTTCTGAATGCAAAAATAAACAAGCATTTATTAGAGACTCTCACAAGAGATTCTATCCAGTAGCAACAATTGTTCTTCCAGAATTCTTTGGATTCCTGTGGTTTAAGCTTTTTGTATGCATAGGAATGCAGAGCCCTAATATTTTATGACTAAACTGAGATAAGAGTCTTCTCTATGGGAGGAACAGCAGCTTTTGTGCAAACTGATGTTTCTTTCTGGAAAAGTTTCTGAAAGAATATTCATCAGTTCAGCTATCCTAGATTGAACATGTCTAATGTTAATAATACTTATAATATCAACAACAGCAACAGCAATCCATCACTAATGATCATCTACTGTATAATGCGGTAGCAAGTAGCTATTAGATTGACTTGTTAAGTGTAGCAGCGATAGACCACAGTTCTTGGACACTGTGGAAAGAGGTGTTTGAACAATAAAAACCTCTGTACCACAGCAGACAAAGGTTTTCACTTCATAATTCCACTTCCTGTGCTGTGAAGACTTGAGTTAGTGAAGTAGACTATTTGGTCGGGTTTTGGTTTAACTCAAAGCTCTATTATCTTACCAGTTCTTGGTATTTGCATGACAGCCTCCATACTGTTTTTGACTGAATATGTCACTTCACTATTCCAGTCTGTCTAACCCTAACCCTAATATTAGTTTAAATTGATTCAGTGGATCCATGAATGAGAAATATCACTGATCCTGCAGTATTCAGCATACTTAAAAATTCTAATGTCTAGCTGAAATTGCATCATAAGTGTGATGTAATGCTTGTTTTACAAGGATAGTTCACCAAAAATGAAAGTTGTATCTTAATTTTCTTGTCCTTATGTCATTCCAGTAGGAATTTCATTTCTCTGTGGAACACAAAAGGAGGTGATTGACAGGATGTTCTTACTATGTTTTTCCAAATAATGAAAGTGAATGGCGATCAGGGACTGTCAAGTTCCAAAAAATGACATTGACTGTGCAATGTCATCTGTCGCTGTAAACACTCAAGCGCTTTCATGTTTGGTGGATTCTGATTGGCTGTCAATGTTTATATTGTTCATCAGCTGGGAAAAAAAATAGTTCTGAATGTGATTTCAGCAATATTGTTCCTCTGTGTTGTTGTCTTCAGTACCTGTGGTGTGAACTTCCGTATTCTCATAGAATTAAGGACCGTTTACACCAAAAATTATAATTATAAGGATAACTATCCACTTCAACAGACTATAACATTGTATTTATTATTTGTTGCCTGCCTCTTTAAATCCTTGCACTCTTTAAAGTCAAGTGGACTCTGATTGGCTGTCAGTGTTTTTATGGTTCATTAGCTGGAATCAGCTGGAGAGTGATTCCAATGATATTGTTCCTCTGTGTTGTTATTGCTATAGTTGTGTTGTGAACTTCCCTATAAACGATTATTAATACATCATAATTAAAATTATTGTGAGCGGCGTGAATGGGCCTTAACTCTATATTCTTCTTTGGAAAATAGTAAGGGACAGAACTGAAATTTATATTTTTATTTACTGAAAATGTCCTCTTCTGCTGTTGCTTTAAAATCTCAAGCACGTGCATGTTCAGGTTTGGCCATTTTTGACAGCCCCAGATTCATTTGCATTGTATAGGAAAAACAGCATTAACATTCTGGTAAACAATACCATAACAACATGAGGGTGAGTAAATGATGACAGAATGAACTACTCCTTTAATTAGCAGGCACATGTGACTTGTTTAAATGTGGTGAGACTCACATTTACATTCACATTGCACATTGTGATGGGTTAATGACAGCATTGTGTTGGTAAATGCTGTCAGGAACAGGCCTGCAGTTGTTGTGGTTAGATGTCTGTGAGACCATGACTCTTAAAGACTCTTTGTGAATTTTGTTTTTGTGAGATAAGACATATAGGGAGGGAAGGAAGATAGAGGGAGGAAAATAGGATAGTGGGAGGAGGGAGATGACATTTTGAGGAGTATCGCATAATTTCTCCCATGATAAAACACTGAGTGGGTGACATATTTTACAAAGTCATGTGATGCTTTGTTTGTGTGTAGCATAACATAGTTGAGACAAGCTCTGTAATGCTATTTACATAATGAGAATTCATGGGATTGACTCACAGAACTGTGTAGATGACATGAACGTGTATGTTTGGAGTTCAGGATATAGCTTTGGGTTGTGGTTTTGGATAATACAGTACTTTGAGCCTCAGAATCCACAGTTAGTATCGCAAAACTGTTGATTCTGGCATATTTGGTGTCCCTTTTACATGAAAATGATTTTGTGTGGACATTTGAGCCTGTGAATCTGAACTAAGAGGCTTAGTTCAAACTCTTGTTCTCTGTTTATTGCTGTGCTGTGATGCAATAGCAGGGTGTGTTAAAGATAAAAGATAAACAGGTGAGAGCGTGTAGAATTTCAATAATGAGATGAAAAAGTAATCTAAATCTGATAGGTAACCCGAATAGAGTATTTAAACCCGTGCTCTTTTCTTATCCCTCCGGTTTCCTCCATTCCCGCCTTGAATTCTCTCTTCAAAGGGAGCCCGTGGAACCAGATCTCACCCTTGAGGTCCGGCATGATACCAGCATGTTTCCGGACCCACCCACGGGCTCCGCCTCCTGGGCCTGCGCTCAAAACATGTCAGCGTTCCAGAATGTTTCTGGAGACACAGGGACGTCTCGTGCATCTTAATAAAGACAGCCTGCATGCTGGAAGCAGCTCCAAAGGCGTCCCAGAATGAGAGATCAGCACTTTTTCAAAACGGGCCCTTGAGTTCATGCCCTCATTACGCTCACTTCTGAAGAGAGTCAACAGGGAAGCAGCACGCTTATTAGTAAACGGAGAGAGCACAGTGGAGATGAAATAAAGAGGAAAAGAGGCAGGACTCAGCACTTTTCCCGGGATTGGCCTGGAATAGAGTTGGGTTCCGGAAGGATAAATCTCATTTATTTTCTCCGTAAAGAAATGTATTTTAATAAAAGTAAACCTGTCAGGACAGACCTTCAGTGAGTTCTGAGGTTTTTAAGCAATGATATATGCTTCTGTATGTCCTGAATCAGCCAGCTCTTCAGATCTATTACATAAACAAAACTTTTATTTTGGATGTGATTAATCGCGATTAATGGTTTGACAGCACTAAATTATATATACATATCTTTTGTAACATTATAAATGTCTTTACTGTACTGTCACTTTTGATCAATTTAATACATCCTTGCTGAATAAAAGTAACTTTTGAACCTTAGCTTTTTTCTTACAGTAGTGTGTAATGTAACTTTCTATTCATCAAAGAATCCTGAAAAACAACTGTTTTCAAGTTAACATTGTTAATAATAATAAATGTTATTTCAGCACCAAATCAGCATATAAGAATGATTTCTAAATCATCATGAGACTGGAGTAATGGCTGCTGAAAATTCATCTTTGAAATGACAGGAATAATTTGCATTTTAAAATATATTCAAATAGAAAACAGTTATTTTGCAATATTACTGTTTTTGCTGTATTTTTGATCAAATAAACGCAGCCTTGGTGAGCAGAAGAGCCTTCTTTCAAAAACATAAAAAAAAACTTTTGAACTTTTGTGTGTTGTATTTATTTATTTTTTTGCATTGAATCAAAACTGATGTTGTGATTCGTCTTGGAGCTGGTTGGTTTGACTCAAAGCTTAGAAGTCTTTATTGAGGAATTTTTTGAAATCCCTATGGAGAAATAAATGGGAAAAATACTTCCGGAAACCAAGACTGCTGAAAAAGTGGGTGGTCACTGTTGCACTTTTTTTAAACAGACTTGCAGAGAACAGATTAAACTCCAAGTTTCCCATGAATGGTTACTGGCTGCTCTGACTAAACTGGCCTCTCAAGTTGGCCGTGTTTAGAGAGTAATCTGCACAACAATGCTATCACAATATCTGTGTTTAAGGGTGGTTAATTCAGGCGTGGAGGTTGTGATTTCGAGATGGCTTGATAATTCCATGCTTATCTCTTCACAGGAGTGTCAGTTGTGATTTGTCCACGGTTAAGATTACAGCCCGGCATGCTGTTGTCAAGTCTGAGCCGGCTAAATAATGCAGTTGATCTGGTTGCAATTGTGAGTCAGTGCTGTTTCAGATCCTCTCTTGCTCAAAGTTTGAGTCTTCTGATGAAGTCAAAACAAAGACACATTTGTTGTTGTTATTGTTTTGGTTAGCCCCTGACATCTTGTTATGACTATTGCGGTACAAAATTTCGAAATTGAGCGAATGTACGTTCAGCCAACAAAATATATAACGGTATCACTTGCATCATCATTGTTTAGAAGTCAATCACAGCAAGACAGAGTAGACGCCAACTGCTGCTGGCTGAGCTGTGTGTTTGAAGTCTTATCTTTGTATGATTTCAACGATATGTCCATTTTCCAAGTTAGTGTCACTTTGTTTCTGTATCGCCATTCAAATATTCCTCTCTTGTGACAGTGTAATGGCAAGAAAATGGTTTGAATTTGGTCCCCTAGATTTGACCCATGTTGATGTCCTTTCAGTGGCCAGCAGAAGATAAAGATTAAACAGTGTGGACCGAGCCCCTTCAATCAGGTTTGTCATCACTCATTTATCCTCCACTGAAACGATGAGGTCAGAGGCAGCGTTGCAGAGTGAAACAGAGGTGAGCCAATCAGTGGCTGGGCTGAGAGAGTTACGCTAACGTGCGCAGCCAGTGGAAAATTGACGTGTCAATTGTTTTGGAATATTTTAGAAGGCCATCGA